CTGACTGGGAGCTGCACCTCCAGGGATCAAGTGATCTTCCCCACTCAGCCATCCAGGTAGCTGACACAACAGGTGCACCACCACACTTAGGTAACTTTTTGTATTTTTAATCGATATGAACTTTCACCACATTGCCTAGGCTGATCTCCATCTCCTGGACTCAACAATCCATTCACCTCAGCCTCTCAAAGTGCTGGGATTACAGGCATGAGCCATGTACCCGGCCCACATGAGCTTGTCGAATGCTTGTGAAAATCGGGTTATTAAACACAATACAGTATGTCCCTGATTATTTCCCTGCTTTAGACCATGAGCTGAGAAATAATGCCACCAATATTGCAAACTACCAGTGAGCTCGCTTCTTTGTGTTTCACATTAATAAATGCACATAGAAAAGTCCAGCGTCAAATGTAACTATTGATCCTCTGCATCAGGCAGCCCTTGAGACCTCCCTAAAATGACAGACAGTGTTTGGGACCTCTCAAGGCTCTTCTCCTTCCACATGCACAAACAGATGCCAGAACTGCCTGGCATAATGACGAGTTATACCAGGGCCACCTGGTGAGTGCACAGTAATAACCCACTGCATCAATCTTCCTCCCGTTCCTGAGTTCACATTTGCATCTTCCGTTTGGGAGACTGAGGCCTGGGAAATTCATCTCTGCATCATCTCTATGTGAGGAGTGAGGATACAACATTTACCTTCAGGTACAGCTGTGGTGGAGGATGAATGGGTACATTTATGTGAAATGTGCAGTAGTGATTCAATGTTTTAGAAATTTTTTCTGAATTTTCTGGGTAACCGCACATACACTGCCAAAGTCATTTCCAATCACACCACACAGCTGTCTCCTCCACACCTCATCGCCCTGATGCACGCCACCCTATTCAATCTACATAGCAATTCTGCCACCAGGGACTCCAGGGGATGGTCACAGTTCTTTACTGGATGGGCTCGGTGTTTTTTCAACCAAACTGGCCCTATCTCCTTTCTGTCAGGAAGCTCAAACCCAAGCGGCCCTCCAGCAAAAGCAGGAGAGTAAGTGCCACCTGTTGCCACACTGAAGATCTTTTCTTAGGCAAGGAGCGCTTCCAGAATACACACCTTTTTCCTTGGTGGGTTCCTCTGCCTGCATGGAGGGAAAGAGAAACACCGTGAGCTTCAGGCCATCCTGAGGCTTAAGTGTACAGGTCTTTTCTTCACTTGGTGACATTAGAAGACCAGATGGGGAAGACTGTTCAACTCAAAGGAATACAGAAGAAGAACAGGACAACGCACTCATGCTAAAGTCGATCTAGCAGGATATTCCCTCTCAAGGTCCAATGCCTTGGCAATGAATAATTTTGCCCCGAGCATGGAATCAAGCTGCTGAGAAGGAAGCTCACTGCCCCTCAGTGCGTGGCTGGTGCTGCCATTTTCTTGTCTTGACTTAAATCAAGCCTCAGTGGGGAACAGACCCTCACTCAGAATTCTCCCAACGAGGGACACTGTATAAATCACCTGTGATACACAGGGTCAGATTCTCCTACGTTACGGAACATCAAAAGGATAATGTTAAGAAACCTTTTGTCCAACAAACCCAGGTGGACTGACCTTGCACTGTGGTGACTCCTCCTCATCTGAGGAATGGTACGAGAACGGTTCCACCAGGGTATATTCTGTGGGAAGTAGGAGGACACAGAGTGACCGTCAGCAGGTGTAGGGGAGGGGCAGGGAAGAGAGGTTTTCTAACCCCAGGTCACCTCATCAACGTGAAATAGCCCATCTCAAACAGGGCGCACCACCCAGGGCAGGCTGTGTGTCCCTGCAGCCTCTTCAGGGCTCCTGCCTCCTCACCTGACCTGAGCTCACTTGCCCTCCCTTCCTGAGGCTTTCCAAGCTCATTTTCTCCTTACAATCCACCTCTGGTGCTTTTGGTTGTATCAGCCATTCTGCGTGATGTTATACTTGGTAAAAAGCAAACTTTCTTCCGAGACATCTCATTCTAGCCAAAATATATGGTATATTCACTCATCTTTTGTGTTGAGGACAATACATTTTTGAAAATACTTAGGTATCCTCTTTTTTAAATGTAGCCCCTATTTAGCAAGTGCTATCTGACCTTGCACTCGACCTTCGCAATGCAATGTCTGCGTGTGTCGGGAGTCCTTTGCTGCTCACACTCACACTGGTTCTGACACTGGAACAGCCCGTCATGGGGGCAGCAGGTGGGGCTCTGACCCTCTGCATCCCAGCTGTGCAGGAGGTTCCCGCAGGGAAGGTGGGTGGGAGCCCAACACCCAAGTGGTTCCTTGAGATCACAGTCAGCGCTGTGTTTGACTGTGTTTACCACTAAACTAAAGCATTTTTCCACTTATTGCTTCTTTTTTTTTTTTCATTTGGCAGGTGGCCTTTGTTACCTAAGCTGGAGTTGTGTGACATGATCTCTGCTGACTGGAACCTGCACCTCCAGGAATCAAGTGATCTTCCCCACTCTGCCATCCAGGTAGCTGGCACAACAGGTATGCCACCACACCCAGGTAACTTTTTGTATTTTTAGTCGATGTGAACTTTCACCATGTTGCCTAGGCTGATCTCCAACTCCTGGACTCCAGCAATCCATTTGCCTCGGCCTCTCAAAGTGCTAGGATTACAGGCATGAGCCATGCAACCCCCAACCTGAGCATGTCAAATGATTCTGAAAATCGGGTTATTAAACACAATAGGGTATATCCCTGATCATTTCTCTGCTTTAGACCATGAGCTGAAAAGTCACGCCACCACTACCACCACTCACGCGTGAGCTCGCTTCTCTGCGTTTCACATTAATAAATGCACTAGAAAAGTCCAGTGTCAAATGTACCTACTGATCCTCTGCTTCAGACATCCCCTGAGACCTCCCTAAAATGACAGACAGTGTTTGGGACCTCTAAGACTATTCTCTTTCCACATGCAGAAACAGATGCCACAACTGCCTGGCATAATGACCAGTGATACCAGGGCTGCCTGGTGAATGCACAATAGTAACGCACTGCATCACTCCTCCTCCCGTTCCTCAGTTCACATTTGCCTCTTGCGTTTGGGAGGTTGACAGCCTGGGAAATTCATCTCTGCACCATCTCTATCTAAGGAGTGACGATAGAACATTTACCTTCAGGGAGAGCTGTGGTGGAGGATGAATGCGTTAATTTAGGTGAAATGTGCAGTAGCAGTTCAATGTTTTAGAAAATTTTTCTGAATTTTCTGAGTAACTGCATATGCACTCCCAAAGACATTCCCAATCACTCCACACGGCTGTCCCCCCCACACCACATCGCCCTGATGCACACCACCCTATTCCATCTCCATAGCAATTCTGCCTCCAGGGACTCCAGGGGATGGTCACGGTTCTTTATTGGATGGACTCAGTGTTTTTTAAACCAAACTGGCCCTATCTCCCTTCTGTCAGGAAGCTGAAACCCAAGCGGCCCTCCAGCAAAAGCAGGAGAGTAAGTGCCACCTGCTGCCACACTGAAGATCTTTCCTTAGGCAAGGAGGGCTTCCGGAATACACACCTTTTTCCTTGGTGGGTTCCTCTGCCTGCATGGAGAGAAAGAAAAACACCGTGAGCTTCAGACCATCCTGAGGCTTAAGTGTACAGGGCTTTTCTTCACTTGGTGACATTAGAAGATCATATAGGAAAGAGTGTTCAAGTCAAAGGAACAAAGAAGAAGAACAGGACAACGGGCTCATGCTAAAGTCGATCTAGCGGGATATTCCTTCTCAAGGTCCAATGGCTTGGCAATGAAGTGATTTTGCCCCGAGTACGGAATCAAGCTGCTGAGGAGGAAGCTCACTGCCCCTCAGTGCGTGGCTGGTGCTGCCATTTTCTTGTCTTGACTTAAATCAAGCCTCAGTGGGGAACAGACCCTCAATCAGAATTCTCCCCACCAGGAACACTGTTTAAATCACCTATGATACACAGGGTCAGATTCTCCTACGTTACTGAACATCTAAAGGATAATGTTAAGAAAGCTTTTGTCCAACCAACCCAGATGGACTGACCTTGCACTGTGGTGACTCCTCTTCATCTGAGGATCGGTACGAGAATCGTTCTACCAGGGTATATTCTGTGGGAAGTAGGAGGACACAGAGTGACCGTCAGCAGGTGCAGGGGAGGAGCAGGGAAGAGAGGTTTTCTAACCCAGGTCACCTCATCAACGTGAAATAGCCCATCTCAAACAGGGCACACCACCCAGGGCAGGCTGTGGGTCCCTGCAGTCTCTTCAGGGCTCCTGCCTCCTCCTCTGAACTGAGCTCACTTGCCCTCTTTTCCTGAGTCTTTCCAACCTCATTTCCTACCTAGAATACACCTCTGGTGCTTCTGGTTGTATCAGTCATTCTGCAATATGTTATACATCGTAAAAAGCAACCTTTCTTCTGAGACATCTCATTCTAGCCAATATGTACGGTATACTCACTAATCTTTTTTGTTGAAGACAAGAAAGATTTGGAAATACTTATCCTCTCCTTTCAAGGTAGCCCCTATTTAGCAAGTGCTATCTGTCCTTGCACTCGACCTTCTCAACCCAATGTCTGCATGTGTCGGGAGTCCTTTGCTGCTCACACTCAAACTGGCTCTGACACTGGAACAGCCCGTCATGGGGGCAGCAGGTCGGGCTCTGACCCTCTCCATCCCAGCTGTGCAGGAGGTTCCCGCAGGGAAGGTGTGAGGGAGCCCAACACCCAAGTGGTTCCTTGAGATCATAGTCAACGCTGTGTTTGACTGTGTTTACGACTGAACTAGAACTTTTTCCACTTGTTCGTTTTTTCTTTCACTTGGCAGATGGCCTGTGTTACCGAAGCTCGTGTGGTGTGACATGATCTCTGCTGACTGGGAGCTGCACCTCCAGGGATCAAGTGATCTTCCCCACTCAGCCATCCAGGTAGCTGACACAACAGGTGCACCACCACACTTAGGTAACTTTTTGTATTTTTAATCGATATGAACTTTCACCACATTGCCTAGGCTGATCTCCATCTCCTGGACTCAACAATCCATTCACCTCAGCCTCTCAAAGTGCTGGGATTACAGGCATGAGCCATGTACCCGGCCCACATGAGCTTGTCGAATGCTTGTGAAAATCGGGTTATTAAACACAATACAGTATGTCCCTGATTATTTCCCTGCTTTAGACCATGAGCTGAGAAATAATGCCACCAATATTGCAAACTACCAGTGAGCTCGCTTCTTTGTGTTTCACATTAATAAATGCACATAGAAAAGTCCAGCGTCAAATGTAACTATTGATCCTCTGCATCAGGCAGCCCTTGAGACCTCCCTAAAATGACAGACAGTGTTTGGGACCTCTCAAGGCTCTTCTCCTTCCACATGCACAAACAGATGCCAGAACTGCCTGGCATAATGACGAGTTATACCAGGGCCACCTGGTGAGTGCACAGTAATAACCCACTGCATCAATCTTCCTCCCGTTCCTGAGTTCACATTTGCATCTTCCGTTTGGGAGACTGAGGCCTGGGAAATTCATCTCTGCATCATCTCTATGTGAGGAGTGAGGATACAACATTTACCTTCAGGTACAGCTGTGGTGGAGGATGAATGGGTACATTTATGTGAAATGTGCAGTAGTGATTCAATGTTTTAGAAATTTTTTCTGAATTTTCTGGGTAACCGCACATACACTGCCAAAGTCATTTCCAATCACACCACACAGCTGTCTCCTCCACACCTCATCGCCCTGATGCACGCCACCCTATTCAATCTACATAGCAATTCTGCCACCAGGGACTCCAGGGGATGGTCACAGTTCTTTACTGGATGGGCTCGGTGTTTTTTCAACCAAACTGGCCCTATCTCCTTTCTGTCAGGAAGCTCAAACCCAAGCGGCCCTCCAGCAAAAGCAGGAGAGTAAGTGCCACCTGTTGCCACACTGAAGATCTTTTCTTAGGCAAGGAGCGCTTCCAGAATACACACCTTTTTCCTTGGTGGGTTCCTCTGCCTGCATGGAGGGAAAGAGAAACACCGTGAGCTTCAGGCCATCCTGAGGCTTAAGTGTACAGGTCTTTTCTTCACTTGGTGACATTAGAAGACCAGATGGGGAAGACTGTTCAACTCAAAGGAATACAGAAGAAGAACAGGACAACGCACTCATGCTAAAGTCGATCTAGCAGGATATTCCCTCTCAAGGTCCAATGCCTTGGCAATGAATAATTTTGCCCCGAGCATGGAATCAAGCTGCTGAGAAGGAAGCTCACTGCCCCTCAGTGCGTGGCTGGTGCTGCCATTTTCTTGTCTTGACTTAAATCAAGCCTCAGTGGGGAACAGACCCTCACTCAGAATTCTCCCAACGAGGGACACTGTATAAATCACCTGTGATACACAGGGTCAGATTCTCCTACGTTACGGAACATCAAAAGGATAATGTTAAGAAACCTTTTGTCCAACAAACCCAGGTGGACTGACCTTGCACTGTGGTGACTCCTCCTCATCTGAGGAATGGTACGAGAACGGTTCCACCAGGGTATATTCTGTGGGAAGTAGGAGGACACAGAGTGACCGTCAGCAGGTGTAGGGGAGGGGCAGGGAAGAGAGGTTTTCTAACCCCAGGTCACCTCATCAACGTGAAATAGCCCATCTCAAACAGGGCGCACCACCCAGGGCAGGCTGTGTGTCCCTGCAGCCTCTTCAGGGCTCCTGCCTCCTCACCTGACCTGAGCTCACTTGCCCTCCCTTCCTGAGGCTTTCCAAGCTCATTTTCTCCTTACAATCCACCTCTGGTGCTTTTGGTTGTATCAGCCATTCTGCGTGATGTTATACTTGGTAAAAAGCAA